TTTGTAGAACTCAGCAGGAAAGTGAGAAAACTGGGCTTCCTGTTGCATCTGCCTGTCTTTGTCTCTGGCGCCACCTGCTGTTAGCCTCCCTGCTTTTTACCCTTCCGGTCCCAATGGGCACCAGTCTCCACTGTCTTTAAATAATAGTTAATTTGACCGGGTTTTGATCAGAATGGTGTTGTAGAAATAAATACCAAAAAAGCCCCACCAAGTACAGAGTGAGACAGGAAGGGGGGGATAGATACACAAATCCACACAGAAACACTCCACCTGTGCTTTTAGAAGCTGCATTTACCTTCTACCAGAAAATATTCAACGGCTCCATTTTCATCTTCATCTTGATCCTTAGCCAAGAGCCTGTACACTTTTGTGCCTGCTGCAGCTTTAGGGGAAACAGTTGCTAGGTAAGGGAAAGGCTCCATGACCCATTCAGGGACGTTGTCATTTACATCTGTCACTGTGAGGTCCAAATGCACCAGGTACCAATTCTTTCCTGTTGGTTAAGAGGGAAAAGTGTGTTAGCCTGAATGGACTTCTGAAGGCAACAATAGTAGTGCTGTGAGGGTTTTTTTGGGGGGTGGGGAGAAGTAGGTTGCATGCCAAGACCCTTCTAACCCCTGGATCCAGCAAGTGTTTAAATATAAGCCAGGCTAGCTTCCTGAGGGGGTGATCACCTGGGTGATGGGCCATAAAGTAGAACAAGGGAATAGGCTTGAGACTGGAAAATGGGTGGGACCCCTTAGGCAGAAGGACAAATCCAGAGCTGAAATTTGCAGTGATGCGAGTCAAAAGAAAAGCAGCAAGCTGGAGAGAGAATTGGACCAATGCTTGGTTTCTGTCTGAATCCAAGGCTAAAGCTCTCCCTTTTGCAGTTTTCACATCTCTTCACATGTAGGTCATCTATCAAAGCATATACCATATTTTTCACTTGTTTGGTTAGCTTGTGTGACCTAACAACTGTTCAGTCAACTTTGGAGAGTTTCCTGCCATCTGTCCACAAGAAACTCATACCCTCTAATATTCCTCAGATCGAAATAGGGACTTTTCTCACTTACCCACAACTGACCCTCTTCGACCCCACATTTTTTGTGTGTTTCCTCCCCCCTCAAGCATTTCCTGTTGAAAGAAGAGTGAGTGCCACCACTATCACAACAACGGGACACAGCACACACACAAACCCCACCATCCTGAAAAATCTCCTTAATCCCAATTTTATTTTATTTTCCTCTTTGGGAGCTTTATAAAAAGAAAAACACACACACCAATAAATGAATTTTAGAAAAAGATAAGATTAGACACAGAACCACAAAGCCTATTTTTTCATATAAAAAAATAATCAGGACTCTTTGCACTTTGCTACTGCCTGGCATCCACCAAGAGCCTTTAAGAGCAGCAGAAAGCTGCTGAGCCTTTTCCCGCTCACTCTTATCTCTGTGGTGTCTCCGCACTTGTGCGAAGAATCCGTGGCAGTTTCTGCTGCTGCTGTGGAGATGGCCAAAACTGGGCTGGTGTACATCATAAAGGAATTCTGGATGATTACGGCTGGTGTGTGGAGCAGTGCGGTGTGTGGAAATGCCCATTTGTGCCCTACACAAGGGGGCCGTAATGTCTCAATTGGCCCTCGAGTTGAACAGAGAACTGCTAAAACGGCCTCCGCATCTGTTGCCATCTTGAATTATTTCTCAGCGTGCTTGAAGTCTGCCATTGCAGGAAACATTCGAAATCTGGGGGCGTGATCGCTGCTGCTGCGTTCTGGACAAATGGTGTGCAATTGCAAGCATCCTATACAGAAAGAAGCACACTCCTGGTGCACTAAAAAGAACACCCCGCTCCCTCATAGGGAGTGCTCTAAATATAAACCTTTGTCACATACCCTTTTATCTCGTAAACAGTATAATCTTCTTGTGGTACTCTTAATATCCCTGAAGCACCTCTAGGGCAAGCAGTATAATACACTTGCTTTCCTTCTCAACTACCTCCCTGCTGCCCTGGTGGGGGGGAGAAAAAGAACCTATGTGGCTGGGAAGTGTATTTTTTACTTCAAATATAGGAGTTTTACCCTTTACAGTAGATTTCCAGTGATACCATTAGAGTAGGACTTTGGACAACAGGGCATTTTGAAGTACAGTTAACACATAACCATCTAAAAGGGTTATGTGCACTGACAGCCAGTGTGGTGTAGTGGTTAGTGGGAGAGACCAGGGTTCAAGTCCCCACTCAGCCAAGAAGCTCACTGGGTGACCTTGGGCCAGCCACTGTCTCTCAGCCTAACCTACTTCGCAGGGTTGTTGTGACGACAAAATGGAGAGAGGGGAAACCATGTACGCCACCTTGAGCACTATGGAAGAAATGCAACAGGTGTAGCAAATGAAGAGATTGGACCATGGAATCCAAAGTCTAAAACTAATTTTACCCACTGAATATCTCGTTTGTCCTTCTGTTTACCCGTCAGGGATCTGTACAATGTGTCACATGGTAAGAGGTCTGTCGGGATGTCTCACGACAAGGTAGCAAGTTTAGCATGTACTATCATAATCTGATGTCTATAAACAACCAGTAAGTGGATTCCGGTTAGGAAAATTCCCTGGCGCAGTGATTAACTATGCCAAGTTTCTTAGTATAGACTCCAAAGCATTAACCTTTTATAACCCTTAAGTACTTTCTGTCCTTTCTAAAAATAAGAGTGGGATCCTCAACCACCCACCACCCCACATCAGCATCCACAGAGCTGAGCAAGGTTATGTCCATTGCACCACAATGAAACTGGTTTTTTACAAGTGTGAAGGTTAATAATAATAATAATTTATTATTTCTACCCCGTCCATCTGGCTGGGTTTCCCCAGCCACTCTGGGCGGCTTCCAACAGAATATTAAAATACAATAATCTATTAAACATTAAAAGCTTCCCTAAACAGGGCTGCCTTCAGATGTCTTCTAAAAGTCTGGTAGTTGTTCTTCTCTTTGACATCTGGTGACAGGGCGTTCCACAGGGCGGGCGCTACTACCAAGAAGGCCCTCTGCCTGGTTCCCTGTAACTTGGCTTCTCGCAGCAAGAGAACTGCCAGAAGGCCCTCGGCACTGGACCACGATGGGGGTGGAGAAGCTCCTTCAGGTATACTGAAGGTTAAACTTTGTTCAAACTTTGATAATTTTCCGTGTGGATTTGGGGGCCCATAAGTAAGTAGAGAGATGCAAGACGCAGAGGGCATGGTTGGCAGCTTGCAAAAAAAAAAAAAACTAGTACAAAGTTGGTCCAGCCATGCAAGAAAGCTCCATCTACTTTTGCACCACTCCACTCCTATGCAAGTGTGAATTTTGCTCCTGTAGCCCATGAGCAGAGGCAGCCCATGTGGTTTCTTCCTGATGTTTTCGACTATAGCTCCCATCGTCCCTGGCTGCTGGCTATGCTGCCTGGGGCGAAGGGCATTATACATTGGCTACTGCTGTCTGACACACTCAGCAGAAGCTGCAATGTGATGGACAGGACTGCGTAGGAGAGGCCAACGACCCATGGGGGGGCAGGGAAAGCATGGGGTGAGTGTTTGAAATTAAGATCCCCATCCCACCACCACTTCAAATGCTTTCAAGCAATTTTTAGTCCGCTGGAGGATATTTTGAAGCTCAGTCAAATGCAGAGTGTGGAGCTGGGGTTTTTGCAGCACGTTTTAAAATTGGTGAAAACCACAGGAGTGGGAGACTGTTCTTGTGCTCCGATCCTGCTGACGGGTTTCTCCAAAGGCATCTGGTTGGCCACTGTGAGAACAGGATGGGCAATTGGTCTGATCCAGCAGACCTCTTCTTATGTTCTTAAGATGGTTTAACAAAATTGATGGGATGGCATCACCATCACAGGCCCAATTCACATTGCTGTTTTGGTTGTTTGAAGGCTTTCATATGTTGTTGGACTAGTGTGCTGGAAGAACCCCATCTCTTACCCATTCACTAAGAACTTTAGTTGAGGGCCCCACTACCATCTGAGGTGAGCCCAGGTTGTACTCCAAGTCTGTGTAAATAAATACTATTTTATCTGCATTTACCTTGGCGTTAATTGATCATTGCTAATTCCCTCCCTATAAGCAAGAGCGTACTAGCATTGATTAATTGGCAAGAAATATTGAGTGCAATCATCATTCTGGCAAACTTTCTGCAGATCAAGCTCAAAACCTCTTCTCCATGAATACATGTGTAAATAAGAAGAAGGGAAATCTTGGGAGCCTTCTCAGTGACAGCCCAGATGTGGAATGCACTGCCCAGAAAGGTTCAGCTTCATGGTCCTTTTTTCACCAGGCAAAAGCCTTTAAAAATAAAATCCCTAGGTTTTTTTAGATGCATTTTGAAGACTGCTGTTTTATTCTGCTTTTACAATTGTGTGACTTTCTCCCCCTTTTCTGTTGTTTTTACATTTTAGTCTTTTTGTAAACCATCCTGGGAATATGATTGAAGGGCGGCATGAAAACATTTATAAATTAATAAATAGCCTCTCCATTGATTTCAGCAGAGAAAGTGCTGAGGAGGTGGCCTCATGCCTGAAAAAGGCCGGTGGGCAGCAACAAAACATCAGCCTACCAGAGAAAATCCTCTTGCCCCACGTTTTTCTCCTGAAATCAATGGACACCGTAGACCCCTTCAGGAATTACATACTTATTAAGCAAACACTTGTGGGGGTGAGTATGGTTGTGTAAGCTCCAGCCTCTATCAATCCCCCCCACACACACATGCACGTTTTTAAAACTTGGTGGGGGAGGGTTCTGACATGTATAGGTGGCCTTCATGAGCACAGGAGGGGGCCCTGCCACTTCAAAAAGTCACCCCCTAATTCACAGAAAACAGCAACAGGGATTGGAGCTATTTATGGATTTATTATTATTATTATTATTATTAATGCATTTAATTTATACCCCACCCTCCCCCCCCCGATGGAGATCAGAGCAGCAGACAGATACACAGTTTAAAAACAAGAACATTCCGAAAGAGTTAGAACATTCTAAAAACAATGACAACTAAAAACAGTCTTCCATCCAGTGATCTTGGGGCTGCCAGAAACAGTGTTCTTCAGCCTCCAAATGCCTGGGTAAAGAAAAATGTTTCCAATTTTTTCCTGAAAGTTAATAATGTTGGGGACAGGCACATCACACTAGGGCAGGGATTCTACAAAACAGGGGAACCACCACTGAGAAGACCCTGTCCTGGGCCAGCGCTAACTGGGCAGCCCCTGGGGGTGGCCCCACCACCAACAAGGTCTCACCTGTTAGGGAGGGTCCACTGTGGTTGGTACTGAAGAAGGCACTCGTTCAGGTATTTGGGTCCCAAGCCATTTAGGGCTTTGTATGCTAGCACCTATACTTTTAATTGGGCCTGGCAGTTCACTGGCAGCCAGTGCAGGGCTTTCAGGACCAGTGGCACAAGGTCCCTTTATGCTGCCCCTCTTAGCAACCTAGTAACTGCACTCTGCACTAGCTGCAGCCGCTGGACTGTCTTCAAGGGCAGCCCCGTATAGAGCACATTACAGTAGTCCAAGCAAAAAAAATTATCTAGAGCATGGACAATTGAGGCCAGGCTATCCCGGTCCAGAAATGGCCTCAGCTAGCCCCCTTGTCATCACTGCCTCCCTCGTATGTTTACTTAACATGCCTCCATTAGTTTCAATAAGCAGATTGCAAACTGTGCACAGAGGGGAACAAATTATCAAGGATTTGCAAGCAATTTGGAGGGTGGGGAAGTGTCTGCAAAGCTCCTCAAGGTCTTGCAAGCTTTTCACAGAGCCTGCTCCCAAATCCCTGGCAGTTTTCAAAGTGAACGGACAAGGTTGTTCTCCTGTTCCTAACACACAATTTGCTGGCCTGTAAATCTGCGCTTCTAAATTGGCCAGCAGGGTCCAGAGCAGGCCATCCTGTCCCTCATAAACCGAGGCACAATCACACTACACTCTTAAACCTGCTTATTTATTGGAATTGTTTATATATCCAACCTTTCAGGATACAGCTTTCTTCCAAGGCAGCTTGCAAGAAACAGTACACTACATTTAAGACCACAACAAAGCATTATAACAAATATATAAATAAAATATTAAAGTACCAAAGAAAAAAGTCATCAGTACCTTTCCCACAGGGCTGTTTCGGTAGCATGGCTGGAGAAAATTACAGCGCCCAAAATTCTTTGGCTGGGGTGCTTTTAATGTATGATGTGTATGGAACTCCTCCCACTCTCCCCTATGTGGCAATGCTGAAGTAAGAAGCCTTTTAAAGAAGATCAAGCCAGATGGGTGCAGGATATGAACACCCTTCACACATTTGCAGATGTGCAGCTCTTTAATGAGATATGGTGTTACATCTGCCCATTTTATTGCACAAAAATTATCTTTGATTGCATCAGTTGGAATGGAAAAATTGGGACATTGAAGCTATGTATGCAAACATGTAGATAAAAAGGTAAAGGACCCCTGGATGGTTAAGTCCAGTCAGAGGCGACTTGGGGTTGCGGCGCTCATCTTGCTTTCAGGCTGAGGGAGCAGGCATTTGTCCACAGATAGCTCTCCGGGTCATGACTTCTGGCGCTACGGGACACCGTGATGGAAACCAGAACGCACGGAAACACCGTTTACCTTCCCGCCACAGCGGTACCTATTTAACTACTTGCACTGGCATGCTTTAGAACTGCTAGGTTGGCAGGAGCTGGGACAGAGCAATGGGAGCTCACCCCATCATGGGGATTCGAACCGCCTACCTTCTGATCAGCAAGCCCAAGAGGCTCAATGGTTTAGACCACAGCACCGCCCGCATCCCTATGCAAACATGTAGAACACGCTAGCTAGAGACTCCTCAGTTGGATGGCCCCTGCACCTAGAAAAGACTACAGCCACTTGCAAATCCAGCCCCACTTCCCACAAACTATAACGGTGACATCTCTGACTTCCTCCTGCACCACCCGCCACAGTTAAGAGAGTTGCAGCGCAGAGATTTAGACAGGGCTGCACATTTCTGTGCCGTGGCCTACAAACACGACCAGACAAGTTGTGGAAACAAATCTCACAGCGCCCAGCAAAGCATAAGCCGACAAGGGCTTGCCAGAGGACTGAGGAAGCGATGAAGGGACTGACACGGACAATAATGTATAATGCATGCAGGCGAGGGCATGTGGAGGGATTTCCAAGCCACCCTTGCAGGGGAGAGGCTGCCTTACATTAAGCAGCACCAGCAGCTGTTCTGAAGGGTGTTCTTCGTTCATGCTGGTTAATTCAATCTGTGCTCTCAAATAATTAAAGCTCTTTTTTAAAAAAAGAACTGCAGAAATGTTTTATATTTGTTGTTAGCCACCCTGAGCCCGGTTTTTAAACCGAGAAGGGCGGGGTATAAATAAATTATTATTATTATTATTATTATTATTAATCCTGCAGGAAATCTGAGTTGGTGTGCAAAACTGGCCACTGCATCAGGTATAAAGGTGGAAAGCAGAATGCTGACTTAGAACTACCCAGCAAACCACGTCCAAATTAAATTGATTATTTGATTATTTGGTTAACTGGAACCAACGATTGAAAGAATGATCTTCCTCTCCGCACACAGGGGTCCGAAGCTGAAAGACAGAAAATGTACCCTGCTTGCAGTCCCAAAGCATCTAACAGGCGAATGCCTTCTGCTCACTTTCTCCAAGATTTGGGAAGAGCTTCCTTTGGCCCTCCTTGTATCACATCACCACTGTTGTGAGCTCTGGCCTTCCACCAAAGTCCACATCATTTTACTTGGGGCAGGGGAGGGAAGGAGTGGCCAGCATCCATTCCACACTGGGGTTCTTAAGCCAGCCCTGAAATGCATAAACCATGTTGATATTGGGTGTGTGTGTGTGCAGAAAGACATGCACAAGAGTAGCAAGGGAGAGAGTAGCAGCTAGAAGTCTTGTTGGTATAAAGGATCCTACAAACACAACCAGACAAGTTGTGGAAACAAATCTCACAGCGCCCGGCAAAGCATAAGCAATATGTAATAAGCGTTAAACAGGAGGTGTGTGGAAATGTACCCAGACGTTATATATTGCCATTGCTCTGAACACACAATTTCCCTCTTGAAAACCCTACTCTCACTTCCTGTCTCCCTTTGGGCTCAGCACACACTCCTCATTCTCACCATCAAAGCCATCCACAGCCTTGTTACACACACACACACACACACACATATCCAATGCAGAGAGGAACATCAGAAGCTGCTTCATGTCTTTTCTATCACATATTACCTGGTCCTTTTATCTTTTTTTGTTTTGATTTCATGTGTTTCTGTCTTGTTTTGCATTTAAATCCTGTTTATAATTTATTACTGTAAGTTACTCGTGGAAACAAAGAATCACAAAGTTGGGAGGCTGCCCCCCAAGGGTCATCTAGTCCAGCCCCTTGCAATGCAGGAATCTCAACAAAATAATCCCTGGCAGATGCTCATCCAACCATTGCTTAAAAAACCTCCAACCAAGGAAAGTAGTCCATTCCCCCATCCAACAGCTCTTACTGCCAGAAAGTTCTTCCTGGGGAACTTTATGTTACGGGGCAGAATACAAAGTTCATTAATGAACAGATTAAATAAACTAGAGGTGCCTGGGATTGAATCTGCATCCTTCTGCATGCAAAGCAGGAGCTCTACCACTGCTCATGGCCTTGCCTTATTCAGCTCCACCACCCAAAGGTCTCCCCTTCCTTCAAACAGCTCCACTCTTCCTCATTTCTCCTTTTGCCAATAACTGCATCCCACAACACCTGTGTGAGGCCATCTCACTCCTTCACTTGCTCCATTTCTCACCTTTTCCAAGATGTGCAAACCTAGCCTCCATAACATCCTCCAATTTCCCCCAATATCTGGTGCCCTTTGGATGTGGTTTGACTACAACTCTCATCAACCCTGCTCACTGGTTGGGGCTGATGGGAGTTGTGGTCCAGAACATCTGGCACCAGGTTGGGGAAGACTGCCCTAATCTAACTAAACCGAAGTACATGCATATGAAATGAATTTGCATTTTCCCTCTGTTTTCTCTGGCCACCATCTCCTTTGGTTCCCTCCATTGTGTTGATTCATATATTGTAAGCAAACAGAGGGAAAGGGCTCTCCTCTTTGACATTATGCAGTGCTGGTGCTCTAACAGCAAAAAAAAACTTTAATAAAAGCAGTAGTAGCAATAATACTAGCCATGGAGATCACACTGCTGGTTCCACAAGCACCTTCTGTTCCCATTGCAGACCAGCCAGAGAAGAGCAAAGAGCGAAAAAGGTTCAGCAATGCTGAGGACTACTGGGGCTAGCGATTGACTGGAAACACAAACATCCATCCTGCTCAAAAGTCTTCATGTGTGCAAGCCCTAGGGCTGGGCGATATATTGACCAGTTTGAAGTCCATATCGCGATATTAGTTTCATATTTTTTGACCTGGCAATATATCGCAAATCATGAGGGGGGGGGGTCTGTGTGCTATGCAAAAATCACAATGCAGGGAATACCATGAAGCCTGCATCGCTCCATCCTTATTTCAGACATCGTGATATATCGGTATATCACGATATTTAGCTGGTGATATATCATGATGTTGAAAACCAGAAATTGCCCAGCCCTAGCAAGCCCTGAAAGCATGCTTACCAATGTCAGTTGCTACATGATGCTAATCACACACCACAGCCTATTTTCGTTCATCTACCCACATAACGATGTAGATCATTTATTAGTGGGTTCCAAGTGATTCAAGGAGTTAATGTTGAATTTTATCCAGGTGGTGCTTCTAAGTGCTGTACTCTAAATTTTATTCGTGTGTGTGTGTGTGTACGAACACACACACGAGAATGTGATAAAGCTCCCTCTTAGCTACCCAGCTGAGGAAGGTCAGAAGTCACCTTTTGTTTGGAATTTATTCTGGTACATTGTTTTCAAGTGGCTTTTAAAGATGTCATCACTGGAGCAAAATGAGCCCCCTTTCACACTGGGGGGATAGAAGAACTTTATCAAACAAACAAGATTAAGTTTGACCCCTGAACTACAGCACACAGACTTCGGGACTATGACGACAAAGTGTCAAATCAAAAAGGGTGTTTTTAGCCTACGGGGAATCATTCCCCCCCCCCATTCCTGCTCTCAAGGATCTTCAGGACCATGACGACTGCTAAGTTCTGCTGGCAGAAAACTTGAGAGAGGGAGAAATGGAAATATTTTTTTAAAAAACAAGATGAATTTGACCTTTAATTTCTGTTGCCAAAGGACAGAAATTTGTCATCTCCCACCCGCACCCGGTTTCTCTGCAACAAACAGAATGCTTGCTATGAATCTGAACGACTGGCACAAAGCATGCATGTTTTGAGTTATTACTCTGGCTTGAAGGACTATAATTATTGATGACAGCTGATCTTTCTTGTCCAAGCTAATTTTGCTGCAGTGTTGGGATTCTCGTACCGCTGCACAGCCTGGGTTCTGCAACAGACTCTCACCCACACAGAAAATACAGTGTCAGGTGGGAACTAGGCAGGATAGCCAACGTGGCTCCTGCTGCAAGAGAGCCACAGTCCTGGATCCCTACCTCACTGGTAACTTCCAGTAATAGAAAATGCACGGCAAAATAAACTACTGGACTCTCTCCCACAGGAAGCCGTGATGGCAGCCAACTAACTTGGGTGGCTTTGAAAGAGGATTAGATAAATTCATGGAGGAGAGTAAGGCCATCATTGGCTACTAGCCATGATGGCACTGCTCAGCCCCCAACATCTAGAGGCAGCAATGCTTCTGAGTATCAGTTGCTGAAAACCACAGGAGGAGAGAGTGCTGTTGTGCTCAGGTCCTGTTTGCAGGTTTCCCACTGAGGCATCTGGTCAACCACTGTGGGGACAGGATGCTGGGCTAGATGGGCCATTGGCCTGATCCAGTAGGCTCTTCTCATGCTTGAATATCCCCAACACACGGCAAGCAATGAAGCATAATGATATCACATCATGCACTACTCTGTGGCACTAGATCAACTTTTGCCATCCTGGCAATTGCTGGATCAGCTGATCTGCTGCTTTCACAGAAGCAGTCACATTTTCCTTGTATAGTTTCAGCCTCAGATGTACAAGTTAGTCATAGAAATCTGCCTTATACCAGGTCAGATCCCAGCACAGAGCTCAGTTTTGTCTATTCTGACAGGCAGCAGCTCTCCAGGATCTGATTCAGAGGCCTTCCCCATTACCCGCGAAGGTACGCGAAGGGGCAACAGTTACCTTACGAGAGATGGCGCCCCCGGGTTTCTCCGTCCTCCACCAGTCACGGACTGTGGGCCGGGGGGGAGGGGTGGCATTATTAATCCGGGAAGATTGTCCTTTCAGGGCTCTACCATCGCCATCGATCCCCGGCATTGAATGTGTTGGCCTAGTGTGGGGCTCTGAGGTGAGCTTGGCTGTCTGGCTGGTGTACCGGCCACCTAGCGCACCAGCAGACACCCTGTCAGGCCTGCTGGAGGCGGTGGCCGGCTGGGCCTTGGAGTTCCCTAACCTATTGGTATGGGGGACTTCAACATCCATGCTGATGCCACTCCCTCCTCACAGGCTCTGGACCTGGTGTCTTCCATGGCAACACTAGGGCTCTCCCAGTTTGTTTCAGGCCCCACACATCAAGCAGGCCACACGCTGGATTTGATCTTTGGCGTAGGTATAGATGTGATCATGTCTCCTTCAATTAAGGTGCCATGGTCTGATCACTACGCTCTGAAAGCCAGGATTGACTTTCCACCCCCACCCTGCTTAGGTGGCGAGCCGATTTGGGCTCGCCCGCAGAGGCTGATGGACCCTGATAGATTCCGTCAAGCCTTGCGGGACCTTGCTCCCCTGGCGACTCATTGACTGAGCTTGTTGAGGGCTGGAATACCCAGCTCCTGGCAGCCATAGATGAGATCGCACCTAAGCGCCCTCTGCGACTCCGCAGAAACCGGGCTCCCTGGTTTACCGAGGAGCTTCGGAAAATGAAGCGGGACCTCAGACGGCTAGAGCAAGTATGGCAGGGTGCCCGTGACGGAGCCTCAAGAACATCTTATAGGGTTTTTATGAAAACCTATGAGATGGCGGTGAAGGCCGCTAAGAAGTCTTACTTCTCGGCCTCCATTGCATCCGCTAGCTCTCGCCCGGCGCAATTATTTAGTATAATTAGGTCTTTAACGTCCCTTGAAGGACAGCCAAATTTAAATAACAATCTGACACACAGCTGTGAGGCATTTG